TGGACAAATAGGGAGTTTCCATAATTTGGCAATTGTAAATAATGCTGCAATGAACATGGGGGTGCCGATACCTTTATCGAGACAGTGATTTCATTTCTTTTGGATATATACTCACAAGTAGAATTGCAGGATTGTATGATAGTTCTATCTGTAATTTTTTGAGGCAACATCATGTTTTCCATAGTGGCAGCACCAATTTACATTCCCAATGGTGCATTAGGGTTCCCTTTGCTCCACATCCTTGCCAACACTTATCTCTTGCTTTCTGATAACAGCCATCCTAACAGGTGTGATGTGATATCTCATTGTAGTTTTGATTTACATTTCCCTGATGATTAGTGATGTTGCACACCTTTTCATGTACCTGTTGGCTATTTCTGTGTGTCCTTTAGAAAAATGTCTATTTAAGTCCTTTGTTCATTTTTTAATTGGATTGGTTTGGGTTTGTTATTTTTTTAACTATTGAGTTGCATGAGTTCCTTATATATCCTGGATATTAACACCTTATCAAATATATGATTTGCAAATATTTCCTCCCATTCAATAGGTTGCCTTTTCATTTTGTTGGTTTCCTTTGCTCTGCAGAAGATTTTTAGTTTGATGTAGTCCCACTTGTTTATTTTTGCTTTTATTGCCTTTGGTTTTGGTGTCAAATCCAAAAAGTCATTGCCAAAAGCAATGTCAATGAGACTTCTCTCTGTTTTTTTAAAGAAGTTTTATGGTTTCAGATTTAATGTTTAAGTCTTTAATACATTTCAAGTTACTTTTTGTGAGTGGTGTAAGAAAGGTCCAGTTTCACTCTTTTGTATGTGGTATTCCAGTTTCCATTACTATTTATTGAAGAGACTATTTCCCACATGGGAGTATTCTTGGCTCCCATGTCACATATTAGTTTATCGTATATGCATGGGCTTATTTCTTGGCTCGTTATTCTGTTCCACTGATCTATGTGTCTGTAGTTACACCAATATCATACTGTTTTGATTACTAGCTTTATAATATATTGGGTTGTAGGAAAAGTCATGACGTATTTTTTCTGTTTTGTTGTAAAAATGCGTCATGACTTTTCCGACAACCCAATAGTTTGAAGTCAGAAAGTATGATGCCTCCAGCTTTGTGCTTCTTTCTTAAGATTGCTTTAGATTTTAAAGCTGGTGCAATTAAAATGATGTATTTGTGTAGAATAGATATGCACATTATTGGAACAGAACAGAAAGTCTAAAATCAAGCATGTCTATATGAAAACTTAGTATAAGATGGTTTAGAATAAAGACTTACCTGTTCAATTAGTTATGTGGGGACCAATGATTTTCACACGAAAAAACTAGAATTATATCTCTACCTCACAGCATATTCAAACACATTCAGATGGATTAAGGACCAAAACATAAAGAACAGCATTTTAATTCTTACAAGAAACTATAGGAAAATGTCTTTATGACATTGTGAAGAAAAACCATTAAAGAAAAGTTGGATTAATTCGACTATAGAAAATTAATATTTGTGCTGAACAAAAATGTCATAAATAACTTTTTAATACAAGAAAACTAGAAATACACTAACAGATATTTGAAAAGTATAGAAGAAAAGATTAGTATTCAAAATACATTGTAAAAATCTGTAAATGAGGGGAAAAAAAACCCTAAAGAATCCAATATAAAAACAGGCAAAAGATACAGATAGGCAACTAACAAGTATATCTGTAATGCTTTTTATTAAATTTTTTATTAAAATTTATTGGGGTGACAATGGTTAGTAAAATTATATAGTTGCAAGTGCACAATTCTGTAATACATCATCTATATATCACATTGTGTGTTCACCACCAAGCCATATGCAAATTAGTAATACTCTGGGAAATGCAAACTACAACACTTTTTCTATGTTGGGACTATAGCAGTAATAAAAGCCAAGTCCTTCCTCCAATGGCCATTATATTCTAGCATGTGCCTATGAGAGTTTAAATGCATGTGTGTGGTAGGGAGACCACTTCATGGATGGTGTAGAGGCCTGACCACTGCTCTGTACACCTGAAGCTGCCGTTGAATAATATTGTATGTCAACTATAATTTAAATATATATATATATATATATATATATATATATATA